CCAAATATTATATGCTTAGCTGCCGCGCTTGTCAGACTGATCATAATACGTATTAAAATGGTCTAGCAAAGAGATAAACTTAGTGTTTCAGGAGTATTGACTTAAACTATCACATGTAACCAACCGTTTACTGTAAGGATGCCCAAATGTCTTATTTGGTGACGTTTAAGTTGTCGTAGTAAATAAATCATTGTTTTAAGACTTCGGAAGCACTCTAGTGCTGTGGGTTATGCAGATTATCAGTTGGTTAGCTGATTGATGTTTGGGCGTGGTCTCTGACGGGGCGGGTATATTCCAAACTTATAGTTTTTCCTAAAGGATGTAGCTTGCTTATCTTTCATTAATAAGTGCTCAGTAATTAATGTCCCAGGGTCAGGGCCCTCTTGTAGATTTCTACTTGTTTTTACCCTGAACAATGTCTAATTAGCGTGGACTGTTTCGTAAAAGGATGGATCCTGGAACACAGACACATTTAGGCGTCCTACAATAGTTGTCTTACTGGACCTTAGGGCAGCATTCGACTCTATGGATCGTGAGGTTCTGTCATTGAAAGGTGTACCAAAGAAGTACATTAACCTTATATAAGCTCTCTACTCCAAAACTGCTGGTCGAGTTAGAGCTTATGACGAGCAGTCACCGGAATTAGTTACATCAAGTGCTGTTCGTCAAGACTGTCCACTTTCTCCTTTCTTGTTTAACTTCATAATGGACTTGTTTTTATAGATAATATTATCTTCGTCTGATTTTTCAGGAGTGGACCTTCTACCAGGTGACTCGCTTATTGACTTAGAATATGCCGATGACATAGTCCTACTTGGTGAAGACACTGACAAGATGCAGTCTTCTGACCACTCCAAGCAACAATGCAAGCATTTTCGGGATGCGATCCCCACTGTCGAAATGCAAAATGTTGCTTCAGGATAGGCTTGTATCGGCACCTGAACTAGTGCTAGTTGGTGAAGCAGTTGTGCGTGTCGACCGCTCAACTTATCTCGGGAGTCTCATCAGTGCTGATGGCCTGGTGGCTGACGAAATCTCAGCATGGATACAGAAAGCTAGATTGGCTTTTGCCAACCTGCATAACTTATGTCGAAGGCGAGATATCCGTTTGCTGACCAAAGGACGAGTGTACTGCGCAGTAGTTTGCTCCGTTCTCCTATATGGTTGTGAAAAACGGCCAGTGAGAATAAAGGATATTTGAAGGTTACTAGTATTTGATTTTGAGGTCTCTTCGAAGCACTGCTCGTCTATCCTGAGACAACCGAATAAGCAATGGTGTAAACATAAGTTGTAAGAAAGCTAGGGGCGGCCAAGCCAAAACATGGCACAAATCAATAAATTCACTGACAACTGGATTGTTTTGGTATTTAGTATGACCTCGAAATCGATTTAACAACTACTCTTAAATTAAACCAACTTTCTTAACTTGTGGCTCAAGGCAGATGTATCTGTTTGTCGAAATCCCGGTCTTTATAACCATTAGGTCACAACGCATGATATATGAAGATAGGAAATCTTTGTGGACTTCAGGGTTTGATCAAAAGATTCTTCGAAGAATTGCTCAGGTATGATAGGTGAGCGATTCTGATGTCGATCGTGGCGTAGTAGATAAATGTGTTCCAGTCTCTGTATTAGTTATAGCTAACTTCATTGACTTATCTGGAAGTTGGTTTCTCGAATTCCACTTGATATGATTCTCCTGCATTTTTGGAAAAAAAGTTAATCTAAATGTTAGTGTGAGTAATGTCAACAGGTTCACACTGAGTCAGCTACAACAAAGAACTTTGTACATACGTACATCAGTTCAGACTGCCATACTATATTAGTACAAAGAGATTGAGTTGTTAGTTCAACTCAAATAATGATAGAGGTTGTAGGAGTATTATCAGTAATTGAAAACATTGGGGTTTGTGCATCTGATTGCAAACGTATAAACCACTTAAATAAATTTGATAAGAAAGGTCGTGAAGAATTCATAAGCTTAGTATTTGAAGGAAGATGTAGAATGGATGCATCTGCACCATTTCAAAAGATTTTTAGCTATGTCTTTCAAAGTCTCTAACCAACGGTTACTACTGTCTCGCGAAACCCAAGCAGGTAGTTTGCACCCATTAACATGGCTTGGTCCAGTTGTCGGTGACTTCTTGGATTTGTGCTGTCTTGGTTTGATCTCCTAGCTTTCTTCCAGCCTACCCCTACATTAGACGACACTGCTCGTCTAGGCAGTCGGTAGTCAAATGTGTGTCCCAATCGCCTCAAATGATATATATTCAATCTATTTACCATCCTTACTTATTACCCTTTTCCTGACACCAGCATTGCTTGCCCGGTGGTCCCACGATATACGAACAGTGCTTCTAAGACACCTATGATCAAATACTAGTAACCTTCAAATATCCTGTATTCTTAGTGATCATGTTTCACGTCCGTATAGTAGGACGGAGTGATCTGCTGCACAATAAACTCGTCCTTTGGTTCGCAGACGGATATCTCACATACGCCATAAGTGACGCAAGTTCGCAAAAGCCAGTCTAGCCTTCTGTTTCCATGATGAGATTTCTTCAGATACCAGGTCATCAGCACTGATGAGACTCCCAAGATAAGTGAAGCGGTCAACATGCTAAACTGCTTCAGTCCCTGTCACTAGTTCAGAAGCTGATGCAAGTTAATTCTATATCAGCATTCTGCATTTGAAGGGGGAAAATCGTTACTTACCACTGTTCGTGATCGTTGCGTAGGCTTCTTATCAGCCAGTGTTTAAGCTGCCTCCGCTCTTCATCATGTTCGAAGCCAGACGGGATGAGTTTTTTCGAGCATCTATAGTTCAGTAGATGTTAGTGTTATCCACTGCTCCCCCTCACCTCATGGTTTAACTTACTACCAGATATCACTGCTGTTTCCATAGATTTTTGGATATTCTTCCAGGCAGTCATGGAGTCGGTTTCACTTACATAGCTGTTTAACTATTTTACTAGTTGTTCCTGAAGTATAATCTTGGCTTTTTTTAATCCTTAAGTATAAGTCAAAGGGGTTTCCTTGTTGTGTTTTTCTTACGCCCAGTAAGCCGCAAACAGATACGCGCACGTACTAGAAGCATGATCCGGGTCCAAACACGTGCTCCAGAACGAGCGACAGTCTTCTATCAAAACAGATCGGTACTAGTTTTTTGTTATCTTATACGTTCTGAGCAGCAAGTTCATATTTGCAAACGTTTTGTTGCTCGACCACATATACCTTCTTGTGTACTAGCTTATGAGTTGTGCCTTGTCATCGGAGTCGTACAGCAAAGTAAAACTAGATTAATGTTGAGAGCATTTTTTATTCAAAATAAAATGTCTTAAATCGTATGAAAATGCTTGGCATCAGCTAATCAAAGCATTGTGTCTTATGTTAAAGGGGTTAGTTTATCCTTTTCAAAATAGAGATTTTTCACTCATGGTGTTGAAAAATTATTAGAATAATCTCTTAGAACATTAATTACAAGGAACAGGACATTTTTCGATTGGCGTAGGCGAGATGTCCGTCTGCTAATCAAAGTGCGAGTGTACTGCATAGCAGTTGGCTCCCTCCTACTTGGTGGCAGTGAAACATGGCCAGTGAGAATAGAGGATATTTGAAGGTTACTAGTATTCGATCATAGGTGTCTTCGAAGCATTGCTCGTATATATATAGTGGGACAACCAAGTAAGCAATGCTGTCGTTAGGATCAGTTGAGGTGGTTGGGACATGTGTTACGAATGCCTGACCACCGACTGCCTTGACGAGCGATGTTGTCTGATGTGGCGGTAGGCTGGAAAAATGCTAGGGGCGGCCAGACCAAAATATGGCACAAATCCATGAAGTCACTGACAACTAGGCTGAGTCATGTTGGTAGATGTAGGCTACCTGGTTGGAGCCTGCAAGATGATAGTAATCGATGGTTAGAGACACTGAATGACATGGCTCAAAACTGTTTGCAAAGGCGCAGGTGCATTCCTTCTTTGTGTTCTCTGAAATTCTACTCTTTTGAATTCTTCATCACCCTAATCTTTCTTTTTTCAAGTTTATTTCACTAGACCATACTTCTTGAATAAAATTCTCGAACCATAATCTGTCCGATTACTGCTACTACTTCTACTACCTCTACTACTATGAGATTTGACTTGACAATTGTGTCTCTGTACTAATGAGGTATGGCAACTTGAGCTGATGTAGGTACGTAAAAAGTTCTCGTTGTAACTGGCTGACTGGACATCCGGATAGTTCTAGTTTTATGTAGATATCTGTGGTTAGTGTGCTTAAACTGTGCCTTAACCAATTAGGAGATTTTCTATCTTATTACTTAGTTGTTAGTACTGCTTTCATGCATGTACAGTTAATAACTACAGAAATCTGTTTGGTTTCTCCAAAAATTTACTTTTTAATCCATTTCATGGTTTTTTGAATCGTGATTACGTCAGAACTTTGTATACGTGAATAACTATTTATTTATTTTATGATATCCATTTACTATACTTCCTTAGTTGAAACTTACAATGCTTTTTTCACTTAACTTTAATGATTTTGTGACATGTAGAATACTTTTCTCTTCAAAAATGAATTTTTTAATCAAACTTATTTTTTAGTTACATTTTACTTCCACTAAAGTGAAGTTACTTTAAAATTAGTCAACAAACTATCTAAAAAATAATAATAAATTTTGTATCTAGTTAATCAGGTTTACTAAGAGAGACATTAGTTATAATTTTGAAGTTACTGCGTACTCGGTATCAACTTGAAACTCAGAAGGTTCACATAAGTGTCGGTAATCAGTTTTTGGAAGATCTGTTTATTTTTCTTCAGTCGTTCGTTTATTACATGTTTACTGGACAACTTGTTTCGTTTTTTAAATCTTTGTTTTTTAAACAAATATGTAGGTTTACCTTCCAGAGATGTGTGATGTAATGCCCACTATATCGGAGGATGGTAATTCGAGTCAAGGAGATCGGGACTCACAAGCAAGTGGAGAGGGAACAAATGTTGAAGATATGCTATTGAGTATTTTGGATGAACGTGACAGATTAATGGAAAGTTTACATGATGCACAAGATCAATTGGTATTTACACAGAATCGACTTGCAGAAGCTGAAAGAGAAAGAGATGTTTTAAATAGACAGTTATCTGAAAAACTTCCTGAAGTAGGTGGAATTTCTGTTTATTTATTTTTTTCAACGAATATTATTTGAAACTTCTTAATAATACTATCACCATCTCTACTGTAGCGTCTCACTGTCCTGATGTGATATGATAGCTTGAATCAATCTACATATGTGCCTGGTTGTACGCTGTGCATGGCTGATTAATTGAATGAAAACTTATCTAACTGGAACATTCTCCCTAAGTTGCAGTTAGAATTTCGAGAGGCGATTCCCAGAATTCTAGTAAGAAGCTATGACCAATGGAGTTCAACCATGTTTAGTATGAGGCAGTGGAAGATGGTTACACACTATTGTGAATTGATTAGAATTAGATAAGTAAATCATTTGATACTAAAACGATGATTGGAAGATTAAGCTCATGACACGAGACATCACAGTCTAGGGTCCGATGTCTGGTCGGATTGTGGGTTGGCACTGCTCATTCATACTAAGCTGACCAATATTGTCTCGTTTTCATTAGTTTTCTAAGGTCAATACGTGTTGTCAACAAAGGAACTAAAATTTCGTTCATCTATGGAGCTAGATTTGTATTTATTCTGTTTTCTTTGATCCATATAAAACTGATTAGTAATAGTAATTTATTCAGTAACTTAACACTATTTCATTTGATCAATAATATGCACCTAAAAGGAAACCGGAAGACTATTACAAATACATAAGTAAATCTAAGAGTGTATATTACACAATGAATTCCATCTTTTATTTTGAAATCATTGATTAGTGGCAGCTATTCAGTACACTTGAAAATGACCTACTTATATATATATATATATATATATATATATATATATATATATATTAGACACTGAAGTCAGTAGTTGTTCGAAAATTCTTTGTTTCTTTTATCAGTCTGGTATGCACATTCATACCGGTACATTCTTAAGTAGTAATAAGAGAAAAAATGATTGTGAATCTATTTATATATATATATGTAAGCTGCATTCTCACATCTTTCAGCGTTCACTAACTTATTGATTTGTGATTATTTCATTTATTAACTATGGCTACGTTATGTTATACATACATAAATATGTACGTTTGCCTGTGTGTGTGTGTGTGCGTGTGTAGATGTGTGTAATTAGTTATGAATGTGTGCATAAAACACGCTTATTACCAAAATAAGTTTGTTTTATATATATGTGTGTGTGTGTGCACACATCTTTTTCTCATTTTTCGATTGTGTGCAAGGTCTCTTGTCCTTATGATATTCAAAAATAATCGAAAACTCTTAGAATCATTAATCAATTTCTTTTAAGCTATTAAATTGACTTTATTTTTATGATAGTTCCAACTAGTTAGTTAGTAGTCTTGATGAAATTTATTACATCATAGAGCAATGCTAAAATTATCAAGTTTAATTCATAGTGCATATATGTATATATCAGTTAGAGTTATAGTTTTATCAAAATTATAATCAATCAAAATTAGTTTTTAGAATCATAAGACGAAGTATGGTGCAAGTAACTGTAATGTTCAGTTTTAAAGGTAACTTGAACATCTACAATTCATAAACTGGTCTGATTGTCTTTTTGTATTACTAATGTCTATTGACATTATCCAATTATTTAAATCGGAGTGGTTAAAGTGGAGTATTAATTTGGGACCTACTGGTTGAATATCGTATGTATTTTTTTCACCATTAAGGTGCATCAGTCTAAAAATAGTTTGAAACTCTTCAGATTACAATGATGTATATGGCTCTTTACCTCTATCAATACATTAAAGAGTCAAAATCTTGTGTCTGTCAATATTATTTTCAGTCATTCAGTTAGGAGACAGCAATTTGATCTTCTTAGTGTTTAACAGATATTAACTATTTTGTGATGTGTCTAAAAAAAAACATTTTTTATTCTAAAATGTGTAGGATAACCCTTCAGTTTTTATAGTATAAAATGTTCAAGTCAGTTGACTTCTAATCAATAATTTATTTTGATAGTTTAAGTTGATGTCATGAGGTTTATGAATAAGCTAAAAATGGTGCATGTACTCACATTTGGGTCTCATTTTTAAGAGGAGCAATGGTATATCAAGGTATCTGTTTGAATTTGGGAAATCGAAGCAGACAGTTGATTGATTGGTTATGAAGTAGTAACCGATACGTTGTAAATATGTAAATCCCACAAATGATCATTCATTGCTGCCTGATTCACCTAATTATAACGTCTTAAGTGTAAAGCTAAGTAAATCCTTAAATGAACACCAATTATTTCAAAGTTTCCTATTGACTACCTTTAACTACTTAACAAAGTGAATTCGAGTTTGAATTTGCGATTATTAATGATTATAATTTGAATGATTTTATCAATAAACATGTTGTTGTAATAACGTTTACAACACTTTTGATTTGCGTTTTTTTTTTTAATTCCAAAGAAAGTTAAATACTTTTTATAGGCTATGGTTACGTTAGAGAAAGTGAAACAGCTGTCTCCCCGGTACAGTATACTGAATCATATAAGTTTATCATTGTATATCTAAATGAATTCAGTTTAATAAAACTTGTTAAATGATAAAATGGTCAATTATGATGTCAAAATGCTTTTATTATTGCCAATTTGTGTACGCAAATAATATACGTTGATGTACAACATCATTTGTTAACGTGAATGATATCTGATAAATTATTAACATAAATTTGTACATTGTGGTAGGTAAATTTTCTATTCTAATAAATCTAAAATATAAAAATAGAAGCTAATGTACTAAAAATTATCTGTAAATTTTTCTACAAGATTTAATAGACTTCTTTGCTACAGTTGCATTGAGCTGATTAGTTAATAACTGATTACTACGATTCTTAGAATATTGAATGAACTATACCTTAAAGAGAATGATGGGCTACTATGTTTCTTTTAAAAAAAAAGTAACCAATACTACCTGGTTTTTTGGGATTAGCATAAACAGCGACCAGTTTATTTATTGATAAAACAGCTTCGCAAAGTTACTTGACTTATCAAAGTTGTACTATAAGTAAATGTCAGTGTAAATATCTCAATAAAATAGAGTGGACTATTGAATTATTTATTCATTAGGCTAAAAACCAACACTACTGTTAACATTATATAATTAACTGAATCCATATGGATATCTCATATTAGTGGTAAATACATTTTATTCGGCATTCATAATTCCTACTTGGTTTACCTTCTTCCCCAGTCTGGTTATGTCGACTGAATATTACGAGGATACAAAGATAACGGAGCTGCGGCCTAGATTAATACCATTGTCTAAGCCACTGAAAAGATGGAAGTTTTCTAAAGTGTTTATCAGTTGGTACTACTGTAGTGAACGAGAACACATCTGGGGCAACCGGATTGTATTTAGCGAAAGTTACAGAGTTACTCAGTAAAATTGGAAAACCATATCGCGTAAATCGTTAATTTGCAAAATATCAGTCCATCATATCGAACTGTACTGTTCCTGTTGCAAAACATCGATCCATTGTCACTATTCATGCGCTTCATACAAATTCCATTGTGTTCTAACTCTTCCTTTCTTGATCTTCTCCCATCTTCTGCTGCCAGACATTACGTTTACACTCATGTCACATACTACTTATAAGTAGCTCACACCACACAACTACTACTGCTATACTATACTACTGGTCATTGACTAATGACAAATCGCAAACTATCAGGATACATTTATAAATAACCGAAGGATTGTTCAAAATAAATATCCACTAAATTAGCTTATTTCTGTGTGTAAATTGACCCATTTTTTATGTTCATGATTTAAATATGTTTTGCTGTTTTTAATTGTTATAAAGTAATACATTCTGGGTGTTATATATATATATATATATATATGCCTCTATTTTATCTGTTTATCCTTGCATATGATAGTTTACAGGACTCTTTACCTAGTCCTACCCTTCATCTTCTTATTATTTTGTTTGTTTGCCAGGG